AAGGCGTAGACAAAGGCGTAGGCGAAACAAACCGAGGTTTATTGAAACAGATCGAATAACCATACTGTATATTGGGGTACCCGGACTTCATTACGTACTGCGGCCCCCCCAACGGTCGAGGGGAGAGGTCGCATGCTCTTCCATTCATTCTTCTCAAGCTTCGTGTCCACAGAATAGTAGCATACCAGAGAGAGAGAGAGTACTGCAGAGGCAACTAGCGAGGTGGTCAAACAGACGGCTACTAGTGGTGTGCCAGCCTCAGGGGTGACAGGAAGTTGAGTCTTCTCTTTTCCCTCGGGCTTGAGAAAAATATTAATAAACGCAATTGAAAGAAAACAATAAATCTGCAAATGTCTACGCTGCTGCTCGTGCTCCTCGGCGGTGTAATGTGTGGTACGCTAGCCGCCACCCGGGTATATGCTGCATGCGTGCCTCTTCCATGATCAGTGTGTTTGCGTCTGTCCGCACTTTGGGAAGACCTGATACATATTTTGGCTCTTTGTGGCGTGTACATGTGCATAAAGGAAAATAAACTACCGCATTGTAAATTGAAAACATTGTTACGGGCAAGCGCACCATTGACACACACAAACCACACAACCACCGTCGCGCCCGTCGCACTCCTGTACCTCTGGTGCACGTAGCTGCACCACAAACGATTTACGCTGCTGTGTGTCGGCATTCGTGCACCACAATCAGCATCGCAGATAAGATTCCTGCGAAAGTATGGAGTCGCTACCACGCGGCTCATTACCCCACCCTATAGACTATACAGCAGTGGCATTGGAACGGATGAGAATACTGCCTGCCAGAGCAGCCGGTCAATTTCTTCTTTCAAGATGAAGGCGGTGAATTATTGGAAAGGGAACCGCAGTCACACTCCTACCCTGAGTGCTTCACAGAACAACTGCTGTGGCCAAGATACTCGCCGTTCGGAGAGACTACTACTGTATATCTGCTGTATATAGGAGGATAGGAGGATACACATCAGTCCCACGCCTGCGGGCAACATACTTGCTGTTGGCGGGCAACAAATAGACGCCGACGGCGGGATATTTTTTCTATTTTTTGGGCTGTGTCTCTGGTGTCTGGTACATATGCTATGCATATGCAAATCTAAAACAAGATTGGAACAACGGGGCGCAAACAGCGGAAACGCGGAAGGGTGTAGGAACACTTGCACCACGACACGGGCGTGGCCCCTCCTCACCTCATCCTCGAGATGCGGTGGAAATTTTCGCACCCTCCTCAACTTTTTTGTGCCGATTGTTGCTTCTTCTGCGCCTCTCCCTCTCCTTGGCGTCTTCCCTCGTCTGCTTTTGGGCCTGCGACGGTGCCGTTGCAGCATGCTGGGAGCGAGTAGAACTGTTCGGGCCGTTCATAGCGCCGAGGTATGCTCTTTGCACGCGGGGGGGAAGGGACAGAGACTCTGCTGGTGCGCCAGGAGATGGTGGCCTCTTCCATGCCGAAAGTTGCAGGTTGAGGCAAAAGCAGTTATTTGTTTTTAGAGCATCCCTGCTGTGTCGGTACGTCAGTCAATGTGGGTAACGGTGGTGGTCTTCCGCTTTGCTCTGTCGGGTGTAGATGAAATATGCATATAGACTATATATATTTTGTCTTCACTTCCCATCAGCGCTCACAGCACTATTATAGTGCCGTTTACTCCTACCCGTGGTCACACAGAAGAGCCCCTCTCTACCCTCCCCTCCTGCGGTACTTTACCTTCGATTTTTAATGCGAGAAGAGTTCAGCACTCTCTTCCCTTTGTGTACACACGAACTAGCGCTGTACAAAATACCTCAGGCATGAACCGCAGGAGGGGGTCCAACCCCCCCCTCCTATGTGACCCCGGTTGGGTCGTCTAGCTAGTAGAAGTGGAGGATAGGGGCCAGAGGGGCAGACGACAGAGTCCAATGATGGGAGAAAAANAGAGAGAGAGACAGAGAGACAGAGAGAGAGACAGAGAAGAGACAGAGAGAGAGACAGAGAAGAGACAGAGAGAGAGAGAGAGACAGACAGGCACATGCACGGGGAGTTATTTTCTGTTTGTTGTGCATGGTAGACAGGTGGGCAGGGGGGGGTGTCACACCAACAAGCAGATTGTCAAAGTTGCGGGTTGTTGCAGGCATTGCGATGATTCTGGGAGTATTTACCCTTTGGCGAGGTGACTCCCGAGGTTGTCGCACCGCCTAGCTAGATAGATTGCCAAGGTAGCGTGTTGCCGGCATTGCGATGATGACCTCGCGATTCCTTACCTCTTGGCGAGGTGACTCCCGGGGTTATCGCACCGCCGAGATTGCCAAGGTGGCGTGTTGCCGGCATTGCGATGACCTCGCGATTTTTACCCCTTGGCGTGGTGACTTCCAAGGTTGCCGCACCGCCGAGATTGTCAAGTCAAGGTACAAATTTCAGAAAAATGGGGTACCTCCACCTTGGCAAGATGGGGAGCGGGGGAGTTTTTTTTCCCCACTTGCTCGACCTCCACCTGTCCGTCAGGTAAAACCGAATGCTGCTTGTATGTAGTGTCTACTTCTAGAACCTCGGCGCATCGACATCGATAGCGGATACAATGTAAACCTGCGGCAGCGACCGAATTATGTCTGGTCGTGTCAGCTCGCTATAACAGGCATTCGCACTTCCGTAGCTCGCTTCTTCTCTTTCCACATCGAATTGGTTTTTCTTACGTTCGTTCCTCGCAGAAGAAACCGCTTCACATTTATTCATTCTTGCTTCTTTCGCCAGTTTCCGTGACCAAGCAAAAAAAAAGACCAAGAAAAGGAGCTCTAGAGCTCGAGATGGAGGTTCGTCATTCTGTGGACCACCGTCTTGATTCATCATCTTACCTGCGACACCGTAATATGCGTACCATGTTCTTTACAAAAGTAGCTGCCGCATTCCCTCGCTGAACGGAAAACGAACGCGAACAATTGATTTCTTCGACATGACAAAGCTCGGCCGCAACCCACCGCTTCTTTGCCAAACGCCTCAACCCTGACCACCGTTGCAGCTGTGCTGCTGGGAGCGGCGACAACCGTGGGAAGCGTCCCCCGAGGTCACGCCTGCAGGAGTATCAATCATCTGGAGGAAAAAAGGTACATGGGGTCGGTGTTGTACTGCTATGTCGAGGATGCCAACACACCCACGGGATCGTCGTTCATATTCTCACCCCCCATCGCTAGGCCAAAAAAACGTGAAGAAAACGGCAGTTGTTCTCCATCGCCAACACACATGGCTCCCTGCTTGCTGCGAGACTCGAACGCACGCCGCCCAGACCGCGGAGGGTTAGGTGTACCAAGTGACTCACACACAGGTAGATCACAGCTGGAGCGACCAGCATTCAATTCAAACGATGTTCAGGGGTAGCGGTTGGACGATACAGCAGCACTGAAGCAGACGGTACTGTAGTCTACTGCTGTAGTTTCTGTGGAGAAGAATCAGCCCCACCAAATCGTATCAATGCGACACCGGCACACACCAGCAGTTAGTTATACCGTCGCTGCTCGAACGAACACGATCTGCTGTAGACAAAGTAACGCCGCAGTCTAGACATGCATGCATATATATCCTTGTGACTCATTGCTCTATCCAAAGCTTCAACGTATGGAGCAAAGGCAACACCGTTTTTTGGGGACCGCCTACGCAGGATTTTTCGAGTATCGAGATATCACAAAATAAAAAAACAATAGGGGGAGGGGGCACGCAGACTATTGTTTTGGCGGCACTTTCACGGCGATGATGTTTTGGTCGCACTCGTCAACAAGAATCTGGTAATTTCTACATGTGAGGGAGCACTAATGCAAGCAAGGTATTTATTCGCTCTTTTCAGAAAAATATATATGTCATTCTGAATATCAGTCGTCCACATCCACCCGCAGAAAGATATCTGATAAACGACAATATCGAGCGAACACCTGCCTGGCCAACAACATACCGTAAGCACAGCGGCGTCAGGCCTGCCCTTTCGTGCTACATGTGTAGACTGTAGGGAGTCTCTCACGCTTGAGACCGACGAGTCTCCAGGTGGTGCCATTGCCGTGACAGGCAGGGAGAGATTTGAAAGATTGATTGCTCGACAACCAAGCTTGCTTGTTGTGCCAATAATACCCAATCGGTGGATGCGGAAACATGTCGTCGAAGGCTTTTCCGTCGACCTTCACCGGGCTCCTTCTGCACCCCTTTAGCTGTGGAGCAAGTCAGTCTGTACTGTCGATGTAGGGGTGTGCCATCTCTCGGCCTCTTGCGGTAATTTCAATTTTTCAGGCTCCCCAAGAATACTACATGTGGTCTACACATACATGAATTCCTCTTAAAAATAACTCTTGTAGGATATTTTCTCGACAGAACGGTTCTCAACTTGAGGCGCGTTCTGAGCGTCTCTCACACGCGCAAGCAACAGCCGACAGTTTTCGACGAGATATGAATATATTAATTCGTATGCCTACACAGTGCATGCCGAGTGCTTGAGTACAGTAGTTTTTGAACGCCAATTGGCCTCGGACGTCAAAGCGAACATGATTTGAGCCCAAAAATTTAACCCAATGTGTGATCCTCCCATCGTGTCCATGGGATAAGGGGCTATCATTCCCATCGCGTGCGTGCCTGGCTTTGGGGAAGCTAGGTCGGGCGCAAAGAACGACGGCGACATCATACTCTGAATAGAAAGCAGAAGATAAGTCCGTACAGAAAAAATGAGGGAAGGAAAATTGAATATTGGGGAGAAAGTTGAAATTTTCGACACGCTACAGCATTGAAATGTCGCGCAACTGAGAAAGCTATCCACTGTAGTACTTGGCAGCAGAACCCCAGCTGCGTATTCGTGAATGCTGCGTTCTTCATCGTTGCGCCCTCGCGAAAAGAACCCCGTCATCCCTCTCTCTTCGTCCGCGATGCGCCTTTTGCTGCCGCCGAAAGGCTGTGCACGTACGTGGACAGACTTACCCGTTGAACGGTGACCAGCGCCGCCTCGAGGTTGTTGGTTGGGCATTTCCTCCCTCTTGAGCATGAGAAGACTCGGAAAACTCAAAGCGTTGCTAGCCGCAGCAGCCGCATGCTATGCTATCGGAGCGCTTTTGGCGGGCTTACACTCCTGGAGAGTTGGAGGGGCGAAGGGTGCGTACTCTGCTCGAGCTTCGCAGGACAGTTTACTGGCCGTCGTTGTGCCCATCTACGATGGCGACGAAGAACCGGCGATGGCCGCCCTTTCCACGTGGCCAACGACCTGCTACCACAGCACACTGTCCCGTATGGACCTCGTGATCTACAAGGCCGAAGCTCTTACGGATGGGGACCACCTCCCTCAAATCCCGCATGAGGCATCAAAATGCTTTCGGCACACCAAGATTATCGGAGGAGATCTCATCCCAGAGGTGGGTGTCTTTTTCCCTGCTTTACCGAGACTATTGTAACGTCGAGTACTCAACACAAAGATTACCGTTAAATTTAATGTCTTACTTTTTTTTGTTGCATGCTGACACTGGACCACTACAAAGTCTCAAGGTTGTAGAATCTGCAGGTATGGAGCTGTTGGACAGAAAAACCTCCAATTCTTCCGCCGGGGGTGGGGGGTGTACTCATAATCGTGCATGCCGTAGTCGTTTGACCATTGACCTCGCATCCCTACAAAGCCGGGACGGAGCACGCCGGGTTCTCACCGGACCAGGCTCTCACATCACCAAGCGCGAAGCGCCGTGAGATATTCGGCGAGTCGCATTAAGGGTGTGCTGCATCCTGCTAAGGGTGTTCGGCATCTTGTGCTTACTTCCTTGCGTACGGATGACAGCTGCGTATGGCTTAATTTCTGGTGCTTTCACTTGCTGAGACAGTTGTAAGCACTGTGTAACTTCCTCGAGGGTGCTTGACCATTT